TTTTTTTTTTCTGGAAGAATCATTAGCTTTTATCACAAATGAAAGGAGGTGGGCTTAAAGAATTAGCCTTTTATACAAAAAAAAAAGAAAAAAAAAGAAAGGAGGCCGGGAATTCCTCACAAGACATTCACTCCGACTGTGCCAGACGTGTTTCATTTCTCCGAGTTACTTAATCAAAAATAAGGAGAAAAACTGTTTCTAGCGTTTTTTTTCAGTTTTTTAATTTTTTGTTTCGAATTTATTATTGTCAAAATGGTGTCACACGGTTGCGTTTTCTAAACTAAACTTGGGCGGTGGGACTTCACCCCAGATTTGACAGGTAATTGAATTGGTTGGGCTTTAAGAATTAGCCTTTAAAAAACAGTAAAAATAAAAAATTCTTGGAGGACAACCTGTCGTCCCTGTTATTGACCATTTTGATTATGTAATTGCCTTGGGCACTGGGCCCTGTTAATAAAAGTGCAATTTCGGAAAAAAAAAAAAAAAAAGAAAGRAAAAAAAAAAAAAATTATTGAATTACCTTGGGGAGGTCAGTTCCGCAGCTCAATTCACATAAATTCGAAAAGACTGGTGCTGTCCTCTATTGGAACAAAAAATACAGGGAAAAAGATTAGCATGGCCCCTGAGCAAGGGTGGCACGCATACATCGAGTCGAGAAATGGTACCCCCCCCCCAAGAAAAACAGATTGATGCTGTCGACGGGTTTGAGTAGGGACCATAATCGCCAAGGCAAATCAAAATAAATCCTATCGGAGACTCGTAACTCAGGTTGTTTCAACTTTCAAGTCTACGAGGGAGGGGGAGAGCGCGGGCGTAGGGAAGGGGAGGCGAGGGAGGGGGAAAGCGGGCGTAGGGAAGGGGCAACGAGGGAAGGGAGGGAGCTTTTGCCGTCTTGTGCATGCTATCGTCAAATGCGCAGGGCCCATACTAATTCTTTTTTTTTGGTGAATTTTTTGATTTCCAATTTAACAGATCCTGTCGTGAATGTTCGTGGAGCGGATCTTTTGTTTTTCCCCCCCCTCAAGGTGGAGCGAAATTCGGGAGAATGACCAACGCCTGAAAGCTCTTCACTACCGGTGGTTCCCCTGGGAAGAGGTCCCACTCACGATATATATATATATATATATATATATATATATATATATATATATATATATATATATATATATATCGTCACAAATAGAACTGCCCGGTAAACCGTAGGCAGAGAGAGAGAAGAGGACAACAAACGAGGGGC